TAGGCCCTGTGTATATATATATATATATATATATATATATATATATACCGTCCACATTTTCACAAAATGCCCATCTATGCATTATATGTGCTTGAACGAACAAATACAGACAAAATTACATCAAAATGCGTGTCTCAGCAAATATCCGAAGAAACACTGTCGGTTATGAACTAACGTAAACAGCTTACAAAGAAAACACGCGTGTATCAGTATGGATCTGTGCATTCATACTTAAAGTGATAGCAGAATAATAAACCTGCTGCTGTCTATTTTTAATGTTAATCAAACAACAAAAGACAAAAAAAATCTCTTACTGCTCTTAGTTGGCTGAATAACTTTTGTAACTTTAAAAAGGATTGATCTATATTTAATTTATACAGTGAAGACTATGCCGTGTTATTTTATATTCGATTACTTTATTCAGACCTACCTGAAAAACCCGAAAAGCTCTGTTTATTTCATTTGTGTCTTTGTTCAATTGTATTTATTTGTGCTATTGCTTGCAATCTGATGGCCTGTAGAAAAGATTATTAGCTTTGAGCCCCGCAAAGTCTCAAATTAAAATTTGTTTTAACAGATTTATTTTTATTATGTATTTACCCTACAACATCGTTTTTGTTGTTTCCTAATGAGGATTTTCACTAGATTTTAAACATTGCACATTTTAGCACTGAAGCCCGAAAGACTTTCTTGACTGTTGTCAGGTCATAAGCTGTCATCAGATTATTGAGCTCATGTGTGACTTCCAATTATTTATTTTTCTTTATTATTAAAAAAAATGTATTGTAAAAATGTAAAAAAAAAGTGTATTTTTTTTGTTTTTGCTGTGGATGTCTCAATTGGGGTACAGGATGTGGAAATTCAAATAAATGTTGATGTAACATATATTGGCTGCATTTGTGAGTTCATAAAAATGTAGCTGGTTGTGTAAAATAGGCAATCACAACATTTTTTGAGGTATCAGCAAATATCGTATCAAACTTGGCTATGAGAATCGATATCAGATCATATCATGATGAACCATCTGATTTACACCCCTACTTAAAACCATACAGACTACCACTAATACACACCATAATACAATGCATCGGTGGAGAAACTATGTTACTTCAAAAAACAGCACAACAAGTGTAGTCTAAATTACGTGAAATTAAAACCTCCAAAAGACTCACTAACTAGTCTCAATCCCATGATCTGTTTGATTCGTTTTAATGACGCACTCATTCACTGAATTGTTCAGAATGCTAAAATCACCAAAGGTTTGACATATAAGACCAATTATTGGGTGGGGGGTTGGTGCTTAGTCAAAAAAAAAAAAACAAGCACAGCATGTGTGAATTTCATGTGCAAGATTACATCTCAAAATGCATCCCCTTGAAAGCAACGATTATACCTCAGTTTCACATCGACCAACTAGCTGTTCAGACAAACCAGTGCAGCTCCACTGCAGATGAAGTTCCTTGTTTGGTAATTTGTTGTTTTTACCTCTATTTATCCAGGCAAGTCAATTAAGAATTATTTTCTTTTTTACAATATAAACTTAAATTTTCAGACTTGAGTCTGGGAGTTCACTGATCAACTGCAGTGAAAACAGAAAAGGAAATGTGCTTCTGCGTGAAGCCATAAGAGCCGGTCCTCACGCTCTGCTCAGTGATGCATAAGAGGACCGTTGAGTAGTGAATATAAATGAGGCTGCATTTCATATGAACATGGGTTATAATGAACAATGCTATGAGACTCCTCAGATAATGAACACCAGTGACCTGGACTGGTCAAACACATTGTTTAGCTTCTCAGTCCATCTGCAGAACAGCCAAATAACATTCATCAATATTAAAATGAATAATTCAGACTTTATTGTTGTGGATAATTGCATGTTGAAATTGAGTCCTACTGGTTAATCCAAGGGTCTCAAACTAACGGCTCGCACAGTATAGGTTCATACAGCCTCTCAGATGTTTATTTAGGCATCATTAGTCCAATAAACACACAGATCAGTCTGCTAGGTGTGAGGGAGGGATGGGTTGCTTAACTGTGCCAATAATTACACACAGTTCAAATATATGGTTGTAAAACCAGTGGTGGACGAAGTACACAAATCAAGTACTTGAGTAAAAGTACAGATCCGTGTAATAAAATATTACTCCAGTAAAAGTACTCAGTTTTCAATTTTACTCGAGTGAAAGTACAAAAGTACTTGATTTTTTATGTACTTAAGTAAAAAATACCGATAGATGAATGTTTATTTTGCAGTTTTATATAGGCTACTTTTATCACTTAATTTTATACTAGCATTTATTTTTTTATAATCCTACTGCTCAAAATACCTGGGATTTTCCCAAAATAACCAATAAGGAAATAATGAATATAATAAGGAAAATATCATGATATTTTCATAATTATTTTTTTTTCTTCTCAAACCTTGTCTGTGGTGTAAAAGCACCCCTGGCCAAATGCCCCCAGAGGGCATCACTTCCCACTCAGTTACAATAATTAATCCTAAAATTCGACATTAGTAACTTACACTTAGCAGCATCAGACGCACGCGCGCTCACAAGATCTCCCGGTTCTTACTTGTGAATTCAGTTCACTGGAGACTCGCACTAAACGGTTCATTTGAATCAGTGAGTTGTCGACTCGAGAACAACTGCAATCGGTTCATTCCAATTCATGAATGAATCGATTGGAGCGATTTGCGAACCGATTTAAAAGGCTCATTGAAAAGAATCAGTTCGTTCTTGAATCAGACACCGCTTCTGCGTGTCAGAGCACATGATATATTATAAGGAGTAACGATATGTTTTATGAAATGTAGTGAAGTAAAAAGTACGATCTTATGCTTTGGAATGTAGTGAAGTAAAAGTAAAAGTTACTCAAAATAAAACTACTCCAGTAAAGTACAGATACTTGAAAAATGTACTTAAGTACAGTAACGAAGTAAAACTACTTTGTTACTGTCCACCACTGTGTAAACCATTTGTAATTATTGTAACTGCCTAGTGCTTCTCAAGCATTTGCGTTTGAGACCCCTGGTCTAATATGCAGTGAAAAATGGAAAGCATGCAACTGTAGCATTTCAAAGTCCTCACCACGCCAGGAAAGATCTTCTTCAGTCTGTCTACCGCGGCGAGAGCTTTAGCCTTCCCTCCACTCAGACAGTCTTCAAACTCGTAGAGCGGCTGCCGCACTGGGTTCGAGTAGGAGATCTTCGCGTTGTCCACGAAAGTGATGTGTCTCACACCCCAGCCCTCAAAAAAAGAACAGAAAACATCAGTATTTCAGCGTAATCCAGCTCAAGCAAATGCTGTAGTGATACTGTATGCTATGTGCATTTAAATTACACAAACACACCGCCTGTCTTATAGATTTTTGTGCTTTATTGACAAAAGTTTGCACTATTTTCCAGTTAAATGTCATTTTATTAAAAGGGGATGTTTGTGTACATTTTCTAAGCAGTTAAATAATGCAGATCATTAGAGGCATAGTGTAGCCAAGCACACTGGATACAGTGCCCATGCATTTTTGTTTTTTTTGTTGTTTTGTTGACATGTTTGCACCATTAAATGATTTGCACAATTCCTCTGAAACCAGTAAACTAGTAAAAATAAAGGATAAATAAATAAACCGGTGTGAAAAAAGCAAATATAGCGCTCGTGAAAATTTTCACACTCAGTTGCTCTTGTGAAATTAGGTAAAATTAGGTAAAATTAGGTAAAAAGCTTTCTTTGCTTTCAAACTGTCCCTGACTCAGTTGTGAATTGGTGTCAGACCACTTTCTCTTCACACTGCTGATATTTGAAATCTGGACCACTCCAATTTTGAATGAGTTATGTTTTTATATTGCTATTTACTGCTGTCATTATTAGTAATAACACTGATAATACTCCTAAATTGGTTATTAGAATATTATTCTACAGTTATAGTAATATATTTCAGTAGTAATTCTTTCACTTTGATGAAACACTGAAAGATTGCTATAATGCTATAAAAGTGTCTGAGTTCATTTGGTGCGTTCACATACAGTATAAGCCAAAATTCTTGCGAACCGCTGTTGGAACCAAATGTAAAAACACTCTTACTCTTGCAATTAACTGACATGAATGCATTTTAATTTTCATACCGCCAACATCTCAGGGACACCACTATCATTTTGAAATAGAAGCATCTGCGACTTACTTTCTATAATTACAGTCTTAGGCTTACGACTATTTAAAAAACCATTAAGAAGCGATTATGGCAAAGGCAAGTAAGCACATAAATGACATAAAGCAAGCCAAGAAATCCATACTGAAGGCAATGAAAGCTTTTTTGACACCTGTCAGATGCGATAAGCTGTTGATAATCAAATATAAATCAAATGGCTCATACCATCAGTGTTCTTGCGACATTGCAGCCCAGAGTCCCAGCTCCCAGCAACAGACACCTTGTGGACACGACCTTATCCAGATCCAGAGACGGGACCAGCCTCCAACGCATCAGCTTCAGGTTGAGATCGACAGAAGACTCGGCAAGCCTTGAGGAAATGAACGAAATGTTTCACATACCATAGAGAAAACCATTTTAAAAGTGCATAGACTGACGCCAGGTGTTTCGTACCTTTTAGGGTCCATGCATTCACTGAGATTGACACTTCGAGGTCCCATCGCGCCTTTAGCGTTCTTCTCCCAACCCACACTCTTTGGACATACTGCATAATCAAGTTAGTAAACATAAATATAATGCAACACATGCCTACAGCTACACTGACTTCAATATTAATATAAAAGGCACTTTGCTTGGTGTCGTACAGGTAAAATAATTGTAAATAAATATTTGAAGTTCAACCTAACTGTACGAATGCATCAGACATACAATACATCTTTGGCCACTGTATCATATTTTGCTTGTTTTTATGCGTCTCAAGTAGTGTTGCTTTCGTCAACGAAACTTATGACTAAATATCGTCATCAACGAACCTTTATCACATGCCGAAAACGAGACGAGACGCAACGTAAATGCTGGTCATGTGACGATGACTATAATTAAATGTATAATGCAATATTGTTGACGAATAAAAACGAGACTAAATGTGGTTTACAAAATATAACAAAATTACCCAGCTGTAAAATCAAAAATACACTGAGTGTATACACACTCGGGCAAAGATGATAAATTACCTGCAGAAGCCGTGAGGTCTGGAAGCTTGACCCGAAAGATGATGCTGTGCCGAATTGAGCGGCTCCCTTGTAGAGTCCTGTCTCTGAAGCACAGAACCTCCAGCACATCCAGCTGTGAACCCCTGGCATTCACACGCACAAACACACACCACCATAAGCACACGCGGTCTTTGACCTTAAGCTTACCATTACAAAGAAACGATGCCTAGAGAAGTCAGCACAGATGACATTTAACTCGGAAAGCTGCAAAATACAGCATTATTTCCAAAATCTTCCACCTGCACTGCATTTAATGAACAGTGCATCATTTTTCATGTTAATTTCGGATATGCATCATGGTAATGCCATGTTTTTTTTTAGATATGGTACAATGATAATACCATGTTTTTGGGGCGGGTGCATATTCTGGTGCATATGAAATTGTGAAGGTTGAGACGCAGTTATCTTCATTAAAACTGATGAGCGCTATATTCTCTCAGGATTTACATCTATTTTCTGAAGATATTTGTGGGACCAAGTGTAAATGAAATGAGCAAACTATCAAAATGCTTCAAGTTACTAAGTGTAAATCAATCCACCGGTTTTTAGATGTGGAGCCATAGTAATCCCTAGTGAAAAAAAATGTGTATATATATATATATATATATATATATATATATATATATACTAAAATGTATTTGAAATGCATGTATTTTGTGCTAAGTATACTAAAAATACATCTACATATTTATGTGCTTAATAAAAAAACCCTGCAATTGTGGTATACTAAACTGGTATACTTAAAGTCTGCTAAATTGGAACAACTAATCTTGTGCTTAATGCACTATAATTGTGCGGAAGTAGTGCTGGAGTCCAACTAAAGGTATACTGAAGTATATTTGATTGTGCTAAAGTAGACCTATTGCAAGTACACTTCAGGTACACTTTAAATATCATGCATTTAAAGACTGATATTATACAGAGATCATACAATCCTTATTAATAGTGATATTAAAACACGTTTTAGACATAATATTAAGAAATGTGCATTAAAGAAATACTCCAAATACAGTTTAATTATAATTTTATATCAGTAAGTCTTAAGTGATATGTTAATGGATTTGAAGTATACTTAGTATGAAATAAATGCATATTTGGTATAAACCTCGGTATATGAACATAGTAATCATTCAGTACTATGTGATCTATTAAAGTACACTGGACATAGCATTGTTCTAAGGTGCTGCCATAGTATTTTTTCTCGGCTACATGACTAATGAATAAGCAACATCATAGTACTGTATATGATTTGAATGTACATGATCAAACTTTAGAAAAAAAGGTCAAAAGAACAACACCCTTGATTGGCCAAGCAGCGCAATAGATTCCCACAAAACCCAACATATTAGCAGATGGTTGGAAATAGTATTTTCTCACATTTTTTAGTAGCAGAACAAACATTTTCGAGTTTGAAAGTGATGTCAGGAGGAAAAGAGTGGAGCTGTGGAAACAGGGCTATAATTGAGCACCAGTGGGATGCGTGTTGGAAAAGCTCATTACAGACATACCATTTTTTTGCGAGGAGGACGAGAAAGTTTCTGAGAGGCCAGCCAGGATGTTGAGGCAGTGTGCATGGGTCATACACACCCACAGTAATCTTCAAAACAAACCAGTACACATGCCATATTACAACAACAGAACACAAATTCTGATAATTATGGTAATCTAGAGCAAGCCTCAAATGTTGTTGACAGAATTTGCAATATTCCATTAGTAATAATCCAGCTTTCTACTGTAAATTACCTTCTTTAGGTCTGGGAAGAAGGAGTTCAAGTCTTTTAGAGGAGCGACTTCAACACTTTCATCTGTGTACTTGAGCAGAAAATGTGGGACTGCCGTCGTACCGCTGGAGGCGCAGAGATTATCATACGCCGTTTGCAGGCTTGATATCTGTGAAACAGATCAATGCAAAGCAATCAGCCCACCTCATTAACTCATGAAAAAATGAAAGTTTATGCTTGGTTGGAAAATAGTTAGGCAAGAACTGAAATGCACTCTAAATTGTACAGCTGGTGTAAAGAAGGACAGTGTGCCATTTAGAACAAAAAATCACTTGAATCGAGGTGGCGAACAGGATGCAATTTGAATTTAGTGAATGCCATTACGATGGAATAAATTCATGGAAATGTATATACTGTAAATTAATTTTGAATTGAACGGAAGAGGGTAATAAAATAACACATCTTCACTTTCTAATGACTTACTTGGAGCTAAAATACAGAGAGGAAAGTATTTTAACAGAACAGGTTTCCAAATACTCCTTGGTGCTACTGTATATGCCACATCAGTCATCTTAGGGCCTATATGACATTATGCATTCAAATAATTAACATTGAATTAAAAATTCTAATCAGCACATGCTTTCCATAATGCACTGACTAATGGCTCATTATCCTTCACACAAAGTATCCTCGTCAGAAGTGAGTTATCGACGCGGGCTCTTCTCCGCACCTGTTTGGCAGAGAAGCTGTGCTCTAATGACACCGGCTCCTGCTCCAGCTGGACCCCCTCCAGAAAGCAAAGGGCAGGAAAGCAGAACCAATAATAGAAATTATATTTCTTCAGATCCTGGATAAACAAAAGGACCAGTCAGAAACAAATGGCTGAAAGGACATTAATCTAAAAAGACATTTTCTAAAATGTTGGCATACAAACCGCAAATGTCAAGAGGATGAATTTGTTTAGTATTGAGGAGTCTTCCAGCGCAGCCCCTGACTGAATAACGCTCCAAATCTGTGAAGAAGACAACATTACCAGTAATAATTAAACTGACATGTCCAGAAATTATTTCTAATTTAGTATATGCAAATGCAATATGCATTCACGCTGTGAAACACATTCTGGGACAAAATCACTTAACAAAACACCAAACAGCACTTTTGTGCACAGTATTTCAGTGCAAAAACCTAGCATTTAAACTAAGTCATTAGGTGCGTCCCACTTCAAATACCCAGCTGATGCACTTACTTAAAAGAATAGTTCACCGAAAAACTAAATATGTGCTCTAAGGCTGTCAAAATGGCTGAAAACTACATTCGAATTTTTTACTTAAATATTATCAATATTCGAATTATACTCTAATTTAAAAGGCATAATTTCAGTTAGGGGGAAAAAGCTTTTGGCTTCTCTCCTGAGGCCACAAGAGAGCGCATCGAACAAAATATTATGCACGTTTCTTCAAAGCATAATAAAATAACACGACTATCTTTGAAAAAAGAGCATAATGTTTAAAATAATGTTTATAAACCTTATATAATTAATAAAGTTGCTTAAACAATTAGAAACAAAACAGCATCATGCATGTATGTATAGTTTAATACAAAGGACCGAAGAAAAAAAAAACAATCACAAAGAGTACTTTCTTCATTTAAAAACTGGGATGGGGAAAACCGCCATAAAGTCTTGAGACACGTTTCTTAAAAATTTAACTTACATTAATTTTACATGGCTTTCTAAACATGCCACTCTCTGCGAGACGCGGGTGCAACGCTGATAGATGTCTCTCTCAAAAATGCGATAAATATGCGTTCTGTGTGAACAGCTTGGTTTCGGTAACGAAACGAATGCAACGTTTTTGCATTCGAATGTGGATTTTTATTTCAAATTCGATGAATATTTGAAATTCGAATTTTTTTGTTGACAGCCCTAATGTGCTCATCCTCAGTCCATCCCAGATTAGGATGAGTCTGTTTCTTCATCAGATTAGTAGAAATGTAGCACTGCATCAGTGTCTCAGCAATGGATGCTCTGCAGTGAATGGGTGCCGTCAGAATGAGAGCTTTTGTCTTCTCCAGGTGTTCACTGATGGACTGGAGTGCTGTGCATTATTTGTGGATTATTGTGATGTTTTTATCAGCTGTTTGGACTCTCATTCTGACGGCACCCATTCACTGCAGAGACACTGATGCAATGCTACATTTCTCCAAATCTGATGAAGACACAAACTCATCTACATATGTGATGGCCGGAGGATGAGCACATTCTTTTAGCACAAACTAAATTATTGGCCTTTTTTGCAAAAGTCTGTACTATTTGGCCACGGCAATTATCATTGTGTTATTACAATTTGCAGAAAGCAGGCAGTAAATGAAATTGTATTAAGAATATTACGAATAGCAGCAGTAATTTATCAAATGATGGAGAAGGATGTTCAGCATCTCGATACACTGTGAAAGAAATCACATAATTCACTGGTTCTCAATTCCAGTCCTCATGTACCACCGCTCTGCACATTTTGTATGTATCTCTAATCACTTCAGACGTGTGTTCTATTCGACAGTAAGTGCCCTGCGAAGTGGACATCACAGGATATTACACCATGATTCCAGTTCGAAGGGAGCATATTTGTTCCATTCAAAGGGCATAAAAGTGTGCGAGACTTGAATTTAAACTGTATTTATTTACAGAGGTATATTATATCACACTTCACACTTTCATCTGTGTGTGAAGACGCTGCAGGCCGTGGCGTAGCGCAAATCCGTGAATGAATGCTCCGTAAACTTCAGCTGATTTCCCTGTGCTCAGGAGTAGGGAGCAGTGAACACTGTGTAGGGACCCTATCAATCAGAACACAGTTCATATATAGAGCTCTCTTCTAATGAGCTGCTGATCTGAATCAGGTGTGTTAAACAAGAGAGACATGCAGAGCGCTGGTACGCGAGGACTGGAACTGACAACCACTGGCATAATTCATTCACTGGATCTATGCAGGCAGCGAGTGCAAATCAAATACGCTATCAACAGGCACAATTAATTATGAGTGAATCAAAGCACTGCACCTCATTGGCTGCTTTATCCAGGAGAGCTTTCTTGTCAACGGTTTTGAAGGCTTCTAATGTGTTGGTGTTGTACAGAGTTCCAGAGGCTGGACAGCAGCGAGCAGGTGTGGCTCCATCACTGAAACATAAAATTCATACACTATATTACTTGTATTTGGGTATATTCACTATATGCATGGTTTTGTTCTTTTAGCATCACAGTGTAACCTGTATTGTATACTATTTGCACCATGTACCGACATTAACACGCTAGCTCTTCAACCAGGAAATGTTGACTAACTAGTTGTTGACATTAACTAACTGCTTAATTTTTACCGTACATTTCTGCCAAATGGACATCAGCTTGAGATAGTCACCACTGATAAGCTATTACTAAATATAATGTAGAAACTTTAATTTTCTGTAAAGCTGCTTTGCAACGATTTGCATTGTGCTATACAAATAAGCTTGAATTGAATTGATTGGCTAACCATAATAGCATTACATACTATGGATTATGGTAAAATCACTGTAATGTACAGCTGTGAGTGGCTTACTGTTTTTATACAGTGTACAACATGACAAAAGAAACCAGTCAATAAACATAACATAAAGAAAAGGGAAATCCTTCAAAAACATAGTTTAAAAATGTGCCAAGTTCTTAGAAATGTACTCTTTGCATGTACTCATGTTCATTTAATTCAGCTCTCACAATGTCATGTGGCATAACTAGCACTTTTTTTTTTTTTTACAAAACCATGAATTGAAAATATCAAATATCATACGTTTTTGGATGGTTACACCATATGCATTGGCAGATACAACTTTTCATTTTAAATATGTATTAATAAATGTTAAAATGAACATGAACTAAAATGTATAAATGAGTATTGTTCATTGTTCATATTGAGCTACTGTTAAGAAATGGAACCTTATTTTAAATTCAATTAACCTATATAGTAATATTAGAAAAATGCATAATAGAATTCTAGAACAGAATTAATAGAATATCAGCTTGACGTCATGTGGCATAACTAGCACTTTTTTTTTTTTTACAAAACCATGAATTGATAAATATCAAATATCATACGTTTTTGGATGGTTACACCATATGCATTGGCAGATACAACTTTTCATTTTAAATATGTATTAATAAATGTTAAAATGAACATGAACTAAAATGTATAAATGAGTATTGTTCATTGTTCATATTGAGCTACTGTTAAGAAATGGAACCTTATTTTAAATTCAATTAACCTATATAGTAATATTAGAAAAATGCATAATAGAATTCTAGAACAGAATTAATAGAATATCAGCTTGACACATTATCTGTATGTAATGCACTTGTGTACACTTGTTCCCTATGCCTTTTGCAGAGCCATTTGAATCGAATGATTGGAAAGTGCCCTATGTTTACGAATTGAAGGGATCTATCTGTTTTATAATGTCGCCATGCTTTTTTTCCTTTCTTGGAGAAAAGCAGCGTGGATGCAGATGGTTGCAGGGGCTCAGACGTAACCCCCTCATCACTTCTCCTGTCTCCACCAGACTACAGGGCTGCAAATAGCTGTGCCGTGTAGTCAGCGCAATTACTCACCCGTCATAAATGTAAAATTAATTCTACTGAAACAATCCTTGAGGATTTAACTGGCAAGAAAAAATCATTAATTTCACAAGTAACAGACGTGATATTGGGGCCATTATCCAAGGCTTTCAGAATACCCAACTACATTACATGGTTTTATTGCAGAAAACTTACACATCAAATGCGCTGAACTCCAGGGTCAAGCGTGTCGGCAAGCCAACAGGATCACCTGCAATTTATAACAAAGCACTTGCATTAAATTACAGCTTTAAGGTGGATTAAATATTCTCAGACATTTTCGGCTGTGAAATTTATAAATGAATCATTGGTGACACACACCTGAAAGAGGAGTATTGCCACAGTGGCATCTATAAATAAACACTTTTGTTTCTGCATAACGTCCAAGAGAAAGTGTCATATTGATTGTTTAAGAAGCGGAAAAAACACAAGATGGCTATGTTAGGATAGCACACTACTACTCTTAATATTTCAGAAGTATGCATGTATATTGCAGACAGTGTGTGCATGTTTTGTATGCATGCCTAAATGATCTACTACATTCGCCAGTATTCACATTGAGGACAGCTGCTGTATTCAGAATGCAACACTAGCACACTACAGTCTGCATTCTGTCACAGTCTTGTCTTAGTCTGAAGGTCTCTGCACACTGAGTCCGAATTTTTCGTCCGAAATGTTCGCACGTTGAAAAATAAATACGACCTCACGTTGTGTCAATCACGTTTACACACTGCCTCCGAAACCTTCGTCCGTCATAAAAAAATTCGGACCAGGTTCGATTTTCTGCGTTTTCGCATCTGTAGCAAGCATTTTGATAGGAAAGGATGACGAATACGAAAAAAAAGGAAAAATGCATATGAAAGTTTCGGACTCAGTATGCAAGGACCTATAGGCTTTGTCCAAATACCCACACTTTGGGGAAGTCGTGGCCTAATGTTAGAGAGTCGGACTCGTAACCCAAAGGTTGTGGGTTCGAAATCCATACATTAACAATACAAAGCACACACTTAAGGTCTCTGCACACTGAGTCCGAATTTTTCGTCCGAATTTTTGCACGTTGAAAAATAAATACGACCTCACGTTGTGTCAATCACGTTTACACACTGCCTCCGAAACCTTCGTCCGTCATAAAAAAATTCGGACCAGGTTCGATTTTCTGCGTTTTCGCATCTGTAGCAAGCATTTTGATAGGAAAGGATGACGAATACGAAAAAACGCATATGAAAGTTTCGGACTCAGTATGCAAGGACCTATAGGCTTTGTCCAAATACCCACACTTGCAGTCTTTGCACTTGACCACTTGATTACTTAAATGACGTATTTCCTGTATTTGGCCAAAGTCTTCAAGTGGGTGTGAAGACCACAAGTGTGTGTCGAACTTTTCATTACCTGATGGGACACACCTTGAAGAGACCTTTTTGAAGGATGTTGTTGTTGTTGTTTTGCAATTTTGAGGTGCTCAGTCTTATTTTGGTTTTAGAAAATAAATGTGATTGCTCTCCACACAAATCCACTCTTTAGCCTTGTCCAAATACCCACACTTGCGGTCTTTGCACTTGACCACTTGAACACTTATATGACGTATTTCCTGTATTTGGCCCAAGTGTTCAAATGAGGATGAAGACCACAAGTGTGTGTCGAACTTTTCATTACCTGATAGGACACACTTATAGTGTTGTAAAAAAGCTTTATTTTAATTTTAATTTGAAATACTTTGCATTTTAAAATCAACTTCTAAATGTCTGTTCAGTAGTCCCTATAACATGACAATTTTAATTTGTGGTGCTTCTAATTTAGTGATAAAAAGCAGTTGCAAATGTTGTACAAAATAAATATCACCACTACTCATCTTTGCACCAATAAAAGTAAAAACACTGTTTTTCTACCAAATTATATGTATTATATCTAATTATTATATTAATATTTAACTTGCATTGGAAAGGTTTCCGTGACCTCTCGCGAGATCTCGGCAAAAAGTCTCACGATTTATTTCCAGAACATGATGCATGATGGGATACACTAAGCCTCGAATAGCGCTCCGGAGCAGTATTCGAGATAGTGTGTGTTTAGTGTGCTTTAAGGGCACTGCACTCTGGTATTTTTAAGACCTGGGACAGTCTTGCGCACTTACTTCCTGTCGCGCGCATGCGCTCTCAAGTGGCCAAGACCGCAAGTGTGGGTATTTGGACAAGGGGTTAGTCTTCCCTGTTTGACCTAGTTTTCCCTCATGTGTCTGATTAGTTATCTCTCTCACCTGTCATTGTTAATTATCTCATTAGTCCGCCGTCTTATTTAAACCCTGTGTTTGCTCCCAGTGTTTGTCCGGTCTCGTCTATGTTTAATGTGGATACCATGGATTGCACCCTGATCGTTGGCTTATTAAATATTATTAAACTCTTCTTCGTCTTTATTGGATTGTTACACGAACCACACATGACCGAAACATTTCGGTGACACTTTACAATTAGGTCCCGTTAGATAACATTAGTTAATGCATTAACAAACATTAACTAACAACGCGCATTAGTTAATCTTCGTTATTGTTAGGTAATAAACTATTCATTGTTAGTTCATCTTAGTTCAGATCCATTCAATTATATTAATAGATAAAACTTTTGCTTTTAATTAGAAAGTGTTAAAATGAACATGAATTAAGATTAATAAATGCTTTTTTTCATTGTTAGTTCCCGTTAACTGTGTTTCAAACAGCAGTATGGTGAATTGTTGTCACATGACTCCACTACGCTGTGTTATCCAGAAGTGAAGTTTGATATTATAATCTATTTTTTTAGATGGGGGGGGGGGGCTAATACCTAACTGTATTAGGACATACAGTAGATCTTAAAACTTGAATTTGTGCAGATTCAACCACAGTACAATATATTTACATAAAGACATTCAATAAGGCTGAATATGGCATTAGATATTTAGAAAGACAAATCTAAAATCATCAACAATAAAGTTGCTTTCATTTTCAGGATCTAAGCAATCTGTTCTGACAGAAGCCTAGCACTTAAGAGGCTACCGGTGTCAAATCCCAGCAGAAACACCTCTTTCATTATTACATTCCCCATGCTCACCATTATAGTAGTAGCCTTTGATGTTTTTTGGGCTCTCGTCTAAGCGGAAGTCGTTGAGCTTCTTCTGTGTGAGCTGATGCCAGAATCCTGCCTCCAGGGCACTGCAGAAGGGGGCGAACTGCAGCTTTAGGGCGGCTGCGCCTCTCTCCATCGACTCGGCTTCCATCAGGACCGATGCTTTTGATTCCTAATGACACAGAAAACAAGAGCAAACCAAGCCCAGTGAGACAACTGCATTCAGCCACTGAGGATTTTCATTGAACCTTTAGCATCATAAATGTGCTATAAATACATATAGTTTGCCTTGAAAAAAATATAATAACATTAATAATTTATTTGTTCAATTTCAAACCACTTAAGGCCAAGATTATAATGTACAGTGACAGCTAGCCAACAGATATTTTCATCTTTGATATATCAAAATAAAATATTTGTAATAATGTACACTTAAAATATATTCCTCAATACTGATAGCCTGATTTTCTTATAATAACGCATACATTTCTTGTTCGATTACATTTGGGGAAGTTGGTTAGTTTTGAAGTAGTAGTTCCCTTTTCTCACTTCAACAAGCTTGAATGTCTAAATTAATAAGAAATTAATATTGTACTAAGCTGACAAAACGTCTATGCAACTGATTACGTCTTGTCAACGTAATTAAAGTAAAGACTGCGCTCTTTAGTATTGTGATTTTAGTAATACAGCTTCGGTAAACCACCGAGTCTCTGTCACTGTGATCGTGTGTTTGTTCTTTAAACACACTACAGTAAAAGGCACCACATTGGAAATGTGAGCTGTGCCAATTATAGTCATGTAAATGACAAACAGAGAGTCAGAGCAACAATAAACACATTTGATAGAAACATCACTTACCAGACAAGCACTTCCTGGTTGAGGTCATGTGACCACGGTCACCTTGCACGCATGCGCAGTCGGTTTGCTTTGGTATGGGAACACAGCTAGCGCTTCACAAATTACTTTCAAATTAATTTAATAAGATAACAAGTGCAGGCAGAATGGAAGTTGTGGTGCCGTTTTCGCTGGTGCTACGACTAGTTAATGCTTTATATGTAATATTTTGACAACTTAAAAAAACTCTCTAATCTTAATCGGTGTTAGCATACACGCTTTTCTGATAAATGTTTTAAAGCATCATATCAGAATCAGAATCAGCTTTATTGCCAGGTATGTTTACACATACGAGGAATTTGTTTTCGTGACATAAGCTTCCACAGTGTAACAGAATGACAGTGACAGAACAAAAAACACAGATAATAAATAGAACAAGTAAATAAGGAATAAAAATATATAAATTGACAGTTGTATGTGCAGGTATATTACAATAGACAGTTTTTGTATGTACAGGTACTGTATATTATGTGCAAATTTGAGGTGTAGACTGAGTATGAGTGTTAGATAAATAAGTGTATGAGTGAATAAATAGTGTGTGTTCCACAGTTATTGCCAAGTGTTCATGAGACGGAGGTGGGCACGGAGAGCTGAGATAGTTTGAGGAGGTTTGGGATGATGGTGTTAAAGGCCGAGCTGAAGTCCACGAACAGGATCCTCACATAAGTCCCTGGTCTGTCTAGATGTTGCAGAACATAATGCAGTCCCATGTTGACTGCATCGTCCACAGACCTGTTTGCTCTGTAGGCAAACTGAAGAGTGTTCAGGGCGGGTGTGGGGGGTTTTTTCAAACCTGCAGTAGAAATATTGTCCCGCTGTTATAAACAATGTTGGAAAATAACGTTAACCAGCCGCAAACCAACGGTTTATATGGGTGTCAAATCCTCTTGCGCTGTGTAATTGTCCAAAAAGAGTCTTAAGGTGCCAAAACCATCGAATAAAAGACAAAAATCCAAAACAAAAGGAAAACACAGACAACTAGACAAGAAAATACTGATAGAAACTTATAAACGCTGTTCCTTTTCATTTTAACTGTATTCGATAAATCGGTTCATATGTCGGGTCGGGTGCCGTGCAAAGCAGACGGGCGATATGAACTAACTCAGCCAGAAAATCCAGACTCCTGCTTCAGATACAAGACACATTTACCAAAGCTGTAATTGAGCTCTGGAGTCAGTCGAGATGAGCAGCACTCCTTCAGCATCCAGCCTCTGTAGAGTCCTGTACTGGGACGTCCTGTATGCATGACTCAAGGTCTTTAACTAGTATCATTTAAAGCTAGTTTACATACAAATACAGATTAAATTGTGTTTAGAGTAATGCATTTGCAATGGAAGACTGTGTCAGGTGTGGCATCACAAATAAACAATAAAAATATGAAACTGTAAGTGTGTCTAAGTGTATGCATAACTTGTAAACACTTCACATGTTAGCATGTTATATGTCTATTTTTTTTTTCAACTTTAAATAACATAATATCATAATATAATAACAATATATCATAATAGCAAACCTGGTAAATATCCCGATATCTGCACCAACAGAAAGGGAGGTGACGTAATCTCCACACACAGGAATTACATTAATAATGCATAAACACAAGTTCATCTACCTAAACTAGTCACACTTAAAATGACAATTTTAATCATTTTACAGATCAAATAACCCATTTTACTGAATTCATGTACATGCTTTAGTAAAAAATCTGATATTTCTGCTTTTAAACGTTGGTACATTTTCCCCCTTGGCTTCTAATGCACGTGCATTAGTCTACAATACCATTCAACACTTTGTTTTTACTAACTTTTTACGGTTTTAATCAAAATGACAAATCAGTATGCCACAAACACAGCTTAAGTTTTTAGACAAGGTTTTCTTTAAAATGTTCTAAATCATAGCATAAAATTTTGCAAAAAAAAAAAAAAAGCATTTTTGTTTTCCAATACAAATACCTCAACATCCTTACATCCAAATACATTTACCTGAGATGCAAAAGTAAAAATATGTAACACAGTTATGGGAAAAATACTGAGGAAGAACATCACTTTTTTACAGTGTGATCAGAAGGTAAAAGATATTTCCATATTCTTCTTGTTGCTAGTTGTCAGTCCTGTGTTCCGTGTTTTCCTTCCCCATGTGCCTTCCTTGCCCTAGTTTCTCCATGCCCATATTTGGTTAGTTTCCTCTTCTGGTCCTGATTATGTTGATTTAGTTCTATATGCCTCAGCTGTGTTATTAATTATCTTGTTTGCCTCCCGATTACTTAAGCCCTGTGTTTACCTGTTTCTAGCGTCTGCTGTCTAACGTCATTCCATGTTCCAGTCTGTGTCCCCATTGGTTTATTTATTAAAGTCTGTTTTCTTGTAGTTTACTCCTCGTCCATGTTCCAGTGAATCGTGACAGAACAGAGGACCGAAAGTGGCGCCCCCCTCTCCCCGTTTTTTTTTTCCCATTTTAGAAAGTCTTTTGTTTTTTCCTGTTCGTTTCTCCCCGCCCATATGCCGTGGCTCGCGACCCGATCACCTACGCAAGGGTATTCGTGCCGCTCGCCCTAGCCAGCTCCCTGGATGGGGAGACCCTGGTGATGCTGTTCCGGCTCGGGATCATATACCACCTCCCCGTGGAACTCCCAGACACCACCAACCTCGACTGGAAGAAGGTGGTCATCTGGTGTCTGGAGAGTCTCCGATCCCGATCCGGAATCCCTCCGCCGGCCGTTCCTCAGTCAAGCCCGCCGGCCGCTCCTCAGTCAAGCCCGCCGGCCGCTCCTAAGTTAGCGAGGGCTCCAGTCCTCGAAGTTTAGCCCAGAGAGGACTCCAGTCACTGAATTTAGCACAGAGAAGGCTACAGTCCCCGAGTGTAGCACAGAAAGGGCTCCAGTTCCCGTGTCGAGCCCAAGGAAGGCTCCAGTCCCCAAGTCAAGCCCAGGGAGGGCCACTGTTCCCGAGTTAGGCCTACGGAGGGCCTCTAAAGACTATATTCTCCCAAGGATTTATTTTTTGGGGGGGGGGCTTGTATGGGTCCATCTGTAGTGGCCGGGCCAAGTGGTGAGGCCAAGGCCACGGAGACCGTCCAGCCATGGCCCCCTGAGTTCCCTGCTCTGCCATGGCCTCCTAGTCTGCCTGATCCGCCATGGGTCCTGGAACGGGTACTGCTCTGGAGGCCTGCCGTCCCGTGTCTGTCCTGAGGGGCCTCCAGAGCGCCCCCTCCCCTCCCCTTATGTTGATTTAGTTCTATATGCCTCAGCTGTGTTATTAATTATATAATTTGCCTCCCGATTACTTAAGCCCTGTGTTTCCCTGTTTCTAGCATCCGCTGTCTAACGTCATTCCATGTTCCAGTCTGTATCCCCATTGGTTTATTTATTAAAGTCTGTTTTCTCAAAGTTTACTCCTCGTCCATGTTCCAGTGAATCGTGACAGGAGTATAGCTATTCAAGCCTTAAACTATTTATTTATTTATTTATTTATTTATCTATCTATGTATGTATTTGTTTGTCTGTTCGTTTGTATGCAAAATAGAGATCAGTTGAAAGCTGCATTTTCAATTGGAAGTGTTGCTACAACTCATCTGCTCCCTAAACCTGTACATTTAGAGAACATATTGATGTATTGTGTTTTCTTCTGTTTATTCCTTAAACCGTCCATACTTGGTACCATGCATACCCTGTTAGAGTAATAAATTAAGAGTATTTAACATCAAAACCATGTTGTCATGTGAACCAGTGGTTTTCAAAATGCGAGTCATCTGCCACATTTGCCAAAACACACTTCTCAGTTTATTTGAAGAAAACCATCTAATTGAGTCTAGTTATAGCAAGAATGGCATTTTGGTTTAACCAATCACGTGGTTTCACAGAAAGTGACAGGCACTAATTGAGGGCTGACAATGCAAACTGTTAGAAGAAAAAAAGAGAACTAAATGAGACTACGCAATGCACTGCATTAGTATTATATACTGTATAGTATAATTGCTTTATCATAACATGAAGTATTTGTAGTCTGTTTCACCACCTCATCGCTGCACAGGCATGCAAATGCAGTATTTTTGAAATGGATACCAGCATTCTGCTGTGTATTGTTTATTGCATGTTTTGTATGTGATATAGTGGCAGTATGAAACATTTTTTTTTATCTTGTTTTCACATGACCTTAATGTTACATTGTTCATCAACCAGAGGCATCCAGTTACTGGCCGTGTCCGAAAAATTAAAAATGCTGCCTACAGAGGTAGGAAGGCAACAAGGCACATCCGAATCCAATGATCGTGAGCTGCCTTCATCTTAGCAATTTCTGAAGGCAGCTAGATTAATCCTTCACTACCTATAATATCTTATAATAAAAGATGGCATCTGAAAGTTGTGGTTGGTGCTCATTTAGTGTGCTTTTGACCAACTTTTTCCACTTTTGATGGTATTTCAAGCAAGTAATTATAGTGATTAAATATTTGTTTAGTTATCACCTAAACTCGTTCTATTTTGTTGTAGATCATTAAACCTTCCTGCTGCCTCAGAAGTCTGTCCGCAGTCATTTTCGTGAGGTACCTTCATGCACAAATGCTGCCTGCAAATTCATTGCCTGATAAGGCAGCTAAGCAACAAGTCAGCTGCCTAAGCTTTCGGACGCAGTCATTATGTCTAAAAATGTTTTAAAATGTCTTCACATATCGCAGTTTAATCAAATAATGAGTTACATTAGATGTTACAGTTTATACATTTATTTTAATCATCACTGTTCATCATCATTTTTTTATATTAAAAACAAAGATCAGCTGAAATGCACTGCATTGTAAATAATCCAGGAGTTCTATGTATATGGACAATTTATGCATAGTATATACACCACTGCTTTCCTTTCAAAACTACAAGGTCACGTGCTATTCCGAACATACTTGATTATCACCCAGAATTTCAATGTTCAACCTGTTTGTATGCGGCATTTCCCAGCTCTCTGCAGACAATGTGCATTTGCTTTTGACCAAACTCATATTTAATTAATCTGCCTGTAAAATATATATGCACCGCACATGCTACTTAAACATAATCAATGCCAGGGCATTTTTAAACAATGATCTGCATTAAACACACCAAACCCAAGTTGTCCTGACCGTACATCACTCTCAATGGCAAAGATTCAGGTGTCCGTGTCATTTTAGTGTTGTTTAACTAGTTGTTACTTAACCATGATTACATCAGGTCTAAGTGCTGAAGCAGCAACATAAGTGCTCAAATACAGCCAGTTTTAAAACACTATGGATTGAATAAATCTATCATATAATCTGATGCAGATTGCAGACGTGTCAAACTGACACTCGGCAACAAATAAAAAAATTGCTCTGTACATACAAGATGCCCAAAAATAACACAAGCATAGATGCACAGAACTACCAATGTACAAACATGTAACAAGAAACGCTTCAGAAAGCACCAGTGGAGCAGACGGGCAGTTTTTCTCCTAAACTTTATCTATTAATATGAAATATCTTTTTGAACACCCTTTTGAAGTTTTCATTGCACAGTGGGTATATGAAGGGATTCAGGGTGGAGTTGATGTACCCTAGCCAAATTGTGAACATATGAAGGTCATGATGCACACAGGTCTCACACAAGGCCGTGACCATGAAGGTGATGAAGTACGGGATCCAGCACACCATAAAGACGCCAATGATGAAGCCAAGCTGCCTGGCGGCTTTCCGCTCCTTTCGGATACGCATGCTGTGGATGCTCTGCTTGGACTGTTCACAGAGCTTTAGCCATGTCTGTTTGACGGGGTGTGCATTGGTGGCGTCCAGCGGAGGGCTGTTCTCAGCCCATGGCGACGGCGGTGACGGTGGTGTGCTGTGATTGCAGAGAACCGTGGTGTAATTATCGACATGCACAGTCGGTGCACTCTCGCACATTTTGCCAACAGAGTTTGGCACTAACACATTACAGTTGTTCACATTTATGCACGTTTTGGGCTGAGGGTTATTCTGCAGAAAGGCAAGAGATAATGATGGCGGGCCTTCAGCAATGGTTTCCCCATCGTCGCTCTGAAACGAAATCTCGTTGGAGTCTTGCACGCTCTTTCTCGTGCGTTTCGAAAGCCTGAACATTGGTTTCTTCTTGTAGCAACTCTTCCTCTTTGGCTCAGACAAGGAATCGGTAGTGTCCTCGTTATTGTCCCTCGAGTTGTAAGGCTGCTCCAAGCTGTACTGATCCAGTAGGCCCTCGTTTTGAGAATACGCTTGTGAAGCCAGACTCTCTCTCTCCGAGGCTTTGGTTATCTGCAGTTGCATTCCATTATGTAATGTGTCATCTGCTTCTGTTTTCACCTTCGGACCAGCAAAGTTCTCCCACTCTCTGTAATGATCGCGGACTGCGATGAAAATCTGCGAGTAGAACAGAAGCATCAGAAAGGAAGGAATGTAGAAGTTGAGGATGGCTGTCAGAACTTTGAACCAGGTCACAAAGCGGAAATCCGTGTCGCACTGGTTCTCCAGCTCTGGTTTCCTGTCGACCTGAGCAAACATCCGCCAGCCCAGGATGGGAATGATCCAAGTCATGGAGAGAAGCCACGCGCTACAAATCAGCAGCGTCGCTCTTCCCCGTGTCCGATACTTCAAGTACTGTAAGGGGTGGCGTACGGAGCGGTACCTGTCCAAGCAAAGGATGAACAAGCTGAAAATGGAGGCCGTGCTCGCCACATAGTCCATGACCAGCCAGAACTGGCAAATGACATGACCCAGTTTCCACTCGTCCTCAAGAAGGTAGACCAGATTCAAGGGCATGACTGTAGCCCCGACAATGAGGTCCGCTATCGAGAGGCTGACGATGTAGAGGTTCCCTACCGTGTGTAAAGTCCGTTCCTTTCTAACGGCAAAAAGAACCAGCAGGTTCATGATAACCGTCAGAAGGGACAGTGTGCCAAGCAGAATGCCCAGCACCGCATTGTTCATGTGATGGTGGAAGGGAGCGGACGCATTCAGAAGACTTGTTACGTTGGGTTCGGAATGCTCTTGAAGAATTCTTTTTCCTTGGCTGTTTGTCGTGGTGAGTATCGTAGTCGTCTCCATTGAGCAGTCCAATGTGTCACATTATGGGTTTTAAAAGTCATATCCACATAATGGGGTTTCTGAAAAACAAAACCAAAGAGAATGCATCAAGTTGAATTCTTGTGCGTAATGTGCACTTATTGATGTGTGACTCACTACAGTGAATGGAGACATCCATATTACCGATGTTGCCAGCGAGCTGTGCTCAGTCCACATGTCTGAAATGTCATGGTCTTACGACAGCACAGACGCAAGCAGGTTTGTTAAGAAGCAGTCGCGGAGACCATGGATGATCAGAAAATATGTGAGACACACATTGTCTCGTTGCTAAGAAAGACGGTTTCTATCCATGCTTGACCATAAATAAAAGCCTAGACATTAATAAACCCTTGTCTGTGTCTGGTCTAGCCTCTCATCTCAGGTCTTAGCCTCTCTGTCTCCTTGGTAGTTTTGCCTGTCTATATAAGTGTATTATGTAGTCAGGGCTCTTCATAACAATTTTTTTTTTGCACAAATGTGACAGTTTTCACCATCTTTATACATTCAAATATCATTTTTTTTTGTCACTGGATTTGTAATATGCCCAATTTGGATGAGAAAAGAAAATGTGTGCAACCATAATACATAATGTGACTTAAATGCCTTGCCTATGGGGAAGAGAGGTAGAATTTGATTAATTCCTAAATCTATTTTATAATTTATCTGTTCCACACATACTGTATGATATGCCTTAAGAAGACTTGAAATATTGTGCATATTTGAATTACGTTTATGCTGCTTTTTGGAGCTTGATAGCCCCTGGTTTCTGTCTACTGTTGTTTTATGAAGAAAAAAAAACGACTAAGTCATATCGTTAATCTGAATTGAAGACTCTCGTGCTACAAGTTAACGTTCGCACAACAATTTAACATCGATACAATGTTCACTTATTGTGTTTCTGAGGAATGACCAAGAAGCAACATATACTTGCACCAAATGTTTATGCATTTCTGTAAACCTGAGAGCATTAAGGGTTACAGCGGTGCACTCAGGTTTTGTACATTCTCCAAACAAATTTGTAATCATTTCTCGACGGGTAATGTGGAGAACCCCAAGGCAGTGATACACTTCGTCGCACCGACTTTATGATGTGCTGGTGTAAAACTTACACGCGTTAATCGTTTTCTGAAGAGTTGTGCGTAAAATCTCACGCCTTTTACTAACAAATCGCCATGCATTTTTTTACTGGATTAAAGATCACCGAAAGGAAAACGATCATGGTTCTTCGCGGAGACGCTGCGGTTCAGTCGACACCTGTGGAACGTCTGCCGTCTGTGCGTAAAGTCGAATAATTCTTTCAAAGTGCGCGGTGTCAGAGCTAATGTTAGTCACTTTTTATTTAGTGATTCTCTTCAGTGACATTCATTTAGCTCTGAATGTGATTAGATTATAATCATAGCGGAAACTTACCCTTCCGACTTGCAGTAAACTCCCAGCAGGGATGATGTTATCTCCACAGATTTGATGTACATTTCGAGTGAACTGGACGCTGACTGACGATTTACTGCTCTGAAAAGTCTCATGAATGTCTCATGGACGTCTCATGGATGGACCGGTCTCTCTCTCTCTCTCTCCCTCTCTCTCTCTCTCTCTCTCTCTCTCTCTCTCACACACACACACACACACACACACACACACACACACATTTCAGTGGGTTTACATGATTGCCAGAACATCTCATTAATCCAAAAGCAACAAAATGTGGTATCACTTTATAATCACTCTATTTAATAAGTCAGAGAAAAGCGTTATATATAATGTGAATATATGAAAATATATTAATTCAAACCATGAGTTCATTAATATATGAATTGTATTTTAAGAAACGTCTTGTCTTAAAAATCTTAAACCTAATTAGTTGTTCCTGGGCAAAAAAAAAAAAGAGAGACCTTTTCAAAATATCAAATGCCGCATTTATAAATATCAAAATAATGCAAAATAATGTTTATAAATCTCAATCTTTATGTCAACTTGTTTTCTTTCATTGATGACAAATGAAATGATGATACAATATTAATATCATCCCTTTAAAAACTATCCCTTTAGAATGTCTTGGCCATATTAAGCACATCAAATGTACAAGTGTGCTTTCCCCCCCAAAAATACCATATAGAGTCATGTGCTGTAACTGTGAAATAATGACACCTCATGGCTTGTGATGTTCCTTTGGGAGTGTCTGCTCAATGAATAAATGCAAATAAATGTCATGGTAGTATTTAATGCTTAAAAGAGACCTATTTTTCTTTCATTTCTGACTGTAATGTGTACTGTAATATTTGAAGTGAGAGCAATAGAGCAAAGGCTTCATGGGCTATGTTGAAATAATGAAAGAGTTGCTGAAGCTCAGGATCTTTGCTGAATGATGGAACAACAGAAAAAGCAGACGATGAAGGAGCACACATCTCACTATTTCCAGCAATTAGTTGCTGGCCATTAATCTGTGGCTCGAGCACAGCTTGTGTTACATAGCAGCAGCGCCAGGGCTAATGAACTGGATGTGTCTCTTGAAATGAAATGTCTCATCTGTCAAGCATACTTGTCTTGATTGTACAACCTTAATTCAAGAGCCAGAGACTGGCAGCCTAACTACCTCTACTGTGTGTAAGGAAATAGGACCCTGTTACAAGTCAATGAACCAAATGACACTCTAATTTGTGTGTGTATTCAAGGGCATATAAGAGCCCTAATAATGAACGTTGATACTTATTCACAACTAAGAGAGAGTACATCACATTTGAAAGCCAACATGAAATTATATTTGACCCATTTCTTAATTAAATAGACATTAATTGCATAAATAGTATGTTCACAAATACTGTGTTCACTTTATACATTTCTTTAGTAGTGATAACTTTTTAATATTCTCGTGAACTATTACCACTCATTTACTACTGGTTTAAAATCAGACTGGTCTCATCATATATACAGTACATAGATATTCATACATTTACAGGTACAACATTTTTTTTTTGTATGTTTGGATAGATAATGAAATTTACAAAACTGTACATAATATTTGACAATATGTTTAGTTACAATATACCAATACATTGATATTTTTGAGCCGCTAATACCTCTCCTGTTTTTACACCAAACCTTCTTTCCTCAGAAGTCACAAAGGATGTGTACATTTGTACAAGTTGTTCATATGTAAATTATTCATATTTTATTGTAGATGCTGTTAAAACATTGTATGTTTTGTGTCTAAGTCAATGTACATGTGAGCCACTCACGTGTACATGAATACTCTGCGAAGTCCACTACACAGAGACTATCAGGTGATTGAAACATCCCACTTTTCATGATCTAGTCAATTCCTGGCGGTTGATATAGGTTGAAATGGTTTCTTTCGTGTTTCTGTGTATTAGTTTCATTAAAAAAAAAATAATAATAAAAGCTTGCATTTAGATGCATGCCTCTTCTCTTTCTGTCTCCTCATCCTCCACATGACAGATGCCTATCACAGCCCTGAAGTCAGTACTTCAGTTTGTGTTGCTCAGGAGCTGATGACCCTCCTGCATCCCCAGCTCTTCCTCTCATCCACAGTTGGGACTGGCCTTCAGATATTTCCTCTTCAAATTCGGGCCATCATTTATCTTGATTTATTTACTTATATTTAATAATGTCCATGATATCTTGTAATATATGTTTAGGGGCTAAGCAGACACCTATTTTATTTGTAGTCTTCTTCTTCTGCTCGTTAGTCTATGGCAACCCATAGATCCGCTTGTGGGACAGTTGTGAAATGTGGCACACAGATCTGAAAACAGTCCGAACATTAACCACAGCAAATTTGGGATTTCTATGTCAAACCCTCTAGCGCCACCAACTTCCCAAATTTGTGCTCATGTTTGTGCTAAAAAATGTTGAACCATAAAGGCTGAAATCTACAACAAATTTGACGAACAGCACACTGCAATGGCCATGAGGCTATTTATCTGCAACACTTTATTTAAGGCTTGTGTTTCCTCCCATTCATGGTCCAGTATTGTAGTTGAGTTGAGTCTGATTTCGATTCTTGTCACCTTGTACTCCTTCGGTGTTAAATAAATAGTTATTTTGGATATTCTCATGTCTTTCCTGAGCAGTGTGTTACAGAATACTGGACCTAAACAGAAGTTTGCAGCATTTTTTTTTCTTTTTGTTCCCCTTTACAATGGATATACCTGCTGTTAGACTCCTTCCTCGATGGCCACACAAGGGAATTTTTAGACCTGTCATACAGTATGTACGTTTTATTACATCAGAGTAATCAACTCTACGGGGAAGGTCCTTGACAGAGCTTTTTGTGGATTTGTGGCCAAGTATGGTGACCCATACTCAGAATTTGTGCTCTGCATTTAACCCATCCATGTGCGCACCCACACAGTAGTGAACACACACACTGTGAACACACACCCGGAGCAGTGGGCAGCCATATTGTTGCGGCGCCCAGTGAGCAGTTGGGGGTTTGTTGCCTTGCTCAAGGTTCTCACCTCAGTCGTGGTATTGAGGGTGGAAGAGAGTGTTGGTTATTCACTCCCCCC